TAGTCCGTAGTGCCGCTGCCTGGGCAATATTTCCCTCATAGCACACTGTATGACGTATGGCCGTCTTCATTAGCCCAGTTCGGAGCAGTGCAGTAGGACGCTACACCCCATTTCATTTCATTTTTGTTAACAACAATTATTACTAGTTGCTATTTAACATATATATATATTCATAAAACATACGTCGACTGGCGTGGTTTCGAATCCCCGGTTGTACGTGACAAGGAGTAGGGTCGCCTGTCCAACCTCGTGGGTTTTCTCCGGGTCGTCCGGTTTCCTCCCACTGCTAAAGACCCCTACGCGCAAACGAATTATTGAAATAAAATTAAACCATATGTTAGTCCCGAAATGACCTAGTTTGTGTCGTTAAACCCCATTTCTCTCTCTCTCTCTCATAAAACATACGAAATCGTACAACTACTTGTGGGTTAATTGTCGAAATCGTACAACTGGGTTAATTGTCGAAAGCGAGACATTAACTAATATACTGAAACAACATTAAGCAACTTTAAATACAGCAAGTCACGTGCTTTGCAATGAAATACGTCACGCGAGTCAAAAATTTCAACTAGTATAAATAATGAACGCTTGGCACATTGTCCGTACCATTATTTGAATTAATCAACATAAAAGGATGACGTCACATCTGTATTTTAATAAATGTTAACCGCAAGTTTCTGAAACTCTGTTACAGGTGGGGGGTTGGATGGCCGAATGGTTAGCACGTGCGTGCTGTATCACAAAGCCTGTCATTGAGTCAACTGGCGTGGTTTCGAATCCCCGGTTATTCGTGACAAGGAGTAGGGTCGCCTGTCCAACCTCGTGGGTTTTCTCCGGGTCCTCCGGTTTCCTCTCACTGCTAAAAAACCCTACGCGCAAGCGAATTATTGAAATAAAATTAAACCGTATGGTAGTCCCGAAATGACCTAGTTTGTGTCGAGTGGACGTTAAAACCCCATTTCTCTCCTTCTCTGTTACAGGTGTCTGAATACTACTACCACCAAGATGAGAATCGCTGTGGTTGCTATTGCCTTGTGTGCTTTGGTCTTCTCTGCTTCCGTGGACTGCCAACTGTGGAATATGCCAATGATATTCAACCACTTCATGACGCCCCTCTTCATGGGTCCTGGGATGTTTCCGCTATTTAACGGAGCTTTTAATTCTAGACTTTTGGTGAACAACATATTCCACCGTAATCTCAATCTATTTGGACAAAACAACATGGGTACACAGGAAACTCCGGTTGACGATGATTTATTCTCAGATAGAATTCGAAGTTAAGAGTAAGTTCAATTTCATTTCTTAAAAATATTAAAATTGAATTTACAGAGCATTTGCATTTGGTGATTGAGACTGCAATTACATAAAAATAACACCAAAAAAACAAGCTAGTATATTTCCGTGGAGTTTGCTAATTACAACTGTGCTATTAAAGAACAATATTGGTGTCAGTCATTATCATATATGTGATAGAACTGGTTCAACACGTTCCAAATATAATTTTAACACAGAGATCATTGCTACAAAAAATGCGAAATAAAGGTTTCAACAATCGGAAGTGACGAACGCAAAAGGAAAACACGAGTTATCCCTCTGTATAACTGACTTAAGTGACGAGTGATAACAGATAGATGGGCGAATTTCTGCTCACTAATAATTCCTTCGAAGTCCAAAAGTGATAATGACTGACACCTACATTGTCCTTTAAACAATGTCCTTTTCTTGGGATCGTCCGAAAAGTTTTATACTAATAATGATCGAGAGAGAGGAAGAGAAATGGGGTTTAACTAGGTCATTTCGGGACTAACATATGATTTAATTTTTTTTTATTTCAATAATTCGCTTGCGCGTAGGGGTATTTAGCCATCCAACCCCGCGGGGGTGGGGAGGGCTCGATGTCTAAGTAAGTAAGACGGTGGCTCACTAACTAGGAGTCTCAGGTTCGCTTCTGGTGTGTTGGCCAACAAAGTGCCTCGGTATTTTTTTTTTGCGGGGCTGGGTGTGTGTGTGTGTTGGGGGGGGGGGGGGGCTTCTCTCAGTGACTAAAACGATGGCTCACTAACTAGAGGGTCTCGGGTTCGCTTCTGGTGTTGGTCGAGAGAATTCCTCGGTCTTCTCCGGCGTGGTTCCCCCATTGTCAGTGGTGCAGGACAGGGGGACCCGTGAACGCGAGTGTCTAGTCCTTCGGATGTTACGAAAATAAAACCCAAGGCCCTGTGCCCTGTACATACATGTACTTATTGAAAACAGCTACTAATTTATTTGGGTGACGCCCCGAAGCGTATTCTCTGGTCCAGTTTATAAAGATTAGGGCGATGTTTCCAAGGGTATTAACGCCACGTTATTAGCTTGAGAATATTGAACAGGGTTGGATGGCCAAATGGTTAGCGCGTTGTATCATAAGGTCTGTATTTGAGTCAACTGGTGTGGTTTCGATTCCACTGTTGTAAGCGACAAGGGGTAGGGTCGACTGTCCAACCTTCTTGGTTTTCTCGGGGTCCTCCGGTTTCGTCTAACTGCTAAAGACCCCTACGCGTAAGCGAATTATTGAAATTTAATTGAACCATATGTAGGTCTCGAAATGACCTAGTTTGTGTCGAGTGGACGTTACCCCCCCTCCCCCCCCCCCCTCTCTCTCTCTCTCTTGAGAACATTGAGAGAATACTCTTCAAAACGTTGCCCAATTATTTAATACATTAGTTACCGTTTTTGTATGTGTTATAGTTTATTACTCTATCCAGTTACTAAATGTCTCTAAAAGATCATATATAATTATGCTATATCGACATTCTATTGATAGAATTAAATTCATCAGTAAAAATAGCATTATAAAGTATACCAGCTGGTCTGGGGTAAAGGGTAAATCTTCATCACGGCTCCTACCGACGTTAGTAACAATAATTTGACATCAAGGGGCGATTAAATTCAATTGTCGTATACGTAACTCAAGTAAAATTCAGTGACGTGTGATGTGTATTGCGCAGGCGCATATTTATCAATGAAATGATAATTATTACAATAATTAACCTAAATTATAATTAGGATCATTTTATGATTTTGACACCTTCCTTTATAATAATTGTTGCTTCTATCTTATTATTATTTTTTTTCAGATTACCGACGAGAGAAACACCATTCATTATAGAGGACATCATCTTTTATTGTATTTAATTATTTATTTCTATACACAGGATTCCTGATTCACCATTTTTCGATTCCCTGGATGTACGTGACATGGAGTAGGGTCGCCTGTCTAACCTCGTGGGTTTTCTCCGGGTCCTCCGGTTTTATCCCACTGCTAACGTCCCCGACGCGCAAGTGAATTATTGAAATAAAATTGAACCATAAGTAAGTCTCGAAATGACCTAGTTTGTGTCGAGTGGACGTGAAACCTAATCTCTCTCTCTCTCTCTCTCTCTCTCTCTCTCTCTCTCTCTCTGTATTCAAAGTGCGGCTTTTTGTAGAATTAGAAGAAATGTCATTATTCTTTGAAGATTCGAGACGGCCTTGAACCTCGGCCTCACTAATTATTATTAGTTGAAATGGCTATCAAATTATCGGAATGAAGTTACGGGTCCGAGACATTCTTATATCGACAGGAACAGACATTTAGGATATAAACCCATATTTCAAGTTTTGTAGAAATGGGATAAACATGTTATTCGATTTTGATGAAACTTGAAATATAGGCTCGTCTCTCTCTGTCTCGCTGTCTCTGTCTCTCTCTTATTTATTTACAAGACACATCCATAATCAACTCTCTAGACCATCGGATGACTTGGATATTAATTGGATTAGACCATCCGTGTTTTTTTTAATCGATTACCAATAAATTGAGACAATCGAGAATACCCTATTCTTGTCAAAACTTCGAACATTCATAACTTTCCCCAGAATAAAGTAATTTAACTGATATTTTATTCATGGTTCATTATCTCTCTCTCACCCCCACCCCCCTCTCTCTCTCTCTGTGGCTTCCAATTATTAATAGGTTAACGTTAAACTTCGTGTAATACTCCTGCCGTTTGGAAGCCCCCCCCTCTCTCTCTCTCTCTCTCTCTCTCTCTGTGGCTTCCAATTATTAATAGGTTAACGTTAAACTTCGTGTAATACTCCTGCCGTTTGGAAGCCCCCCCCCCCTCTCTCTCTCTCTCTCTCTCCCTCTCTGTGGCTTCCAATTATTAATAGGTTAACGTTAAACTTCGTGTAATACTCCTGCCGTTTGGAAGCCCCCCCCCCTCTCTCTCTCTCTCTCTCTCTGTGGCTTCCAATTATTAATAGGTTAACGTTAAACTTCGTGTAATACTCCTGCCGTTTGGAAGCCACCCTCTCTCTCTCTCTCTCTCTCTCTCTCTCTCTCTCTGTGGCTTCCAATTATTAATAGGTTAACGTTAAACTTCGTGTAATACTCCTGCCGTTTGGAAGCCACCCTCTCTCTCTCTCTCTCTCTCTCTCTCTGTGGCTTCCAATTATTAATAGGTTAACGTTAAACTTCGTGTAATACTCCTGCCGTTTGGAAGCCCCCCCCCTCTCTCTCTCTCTCTCTCTCTGTGGCTTCCAATTATTAATAGGTTAACGTTAAACTTCGTGTAATACTCCTGCCGTTTGGAAGCCCCCCCCCCCTCTCTCTCTCTCTCTCTCTCTCTGTGGCTTCCAATTATTAATAGGTTAACGTTAAACTTCGTGTAATACTCCTGCCGTTTGGAAGCCACCCCCCTCTCTCTCTCTCTCTCTCTCTCTCTCTCTGTGGCTTCCAATTATTAATAGGTTAACGTTAAACTTCGTGTAATACTCCTGCCGTTTGGAAGCCCCCCCCCTCTCTCTCTCCCTCTCTCTCTCTCTCTCTCTCTCTCTCTGTGGCTTCCAATTATTAATAGGTTAACGTTAAACTTCAAACATTCACCCAGAATAAAATAATTTGACTGAAATTTTATTCATTGTTTATTATAATTTTTTTTAAATCTTACATAATGCATTTTTAAGTACTGTAGATATTTTAGAAAAATTGAGGCCGACGAAAAAATCAAAAAAAAAAAAAAAAATGCTAAAAATATTAATGTAAAAAGAATAAGCAGCTTGTGATAAACTATGTTATAATTTTTATGGTACATTGTTTTCTTAATAACTTATATTATGTTTTAAAAATAAACAAATAGTTCAAACCCCGACACTTAGTTTCTTGTGAACCCCGACCCCCTCATCAACAACTACATTGTAATAAAATAGGGTTTAACGTCCTACGTTTCTGGGGGGGGGGGGTGGATGGCCAAATGGTTAGCACGTGCGTGCTGTTTCATACGGCCTGTCATTGAATCAACTAGGTGGTTTCGAATCCCCTGTTGTACGTGACAAGGAGTTGGATCGCCTGTCCAACCTCGTGGGTTTTCTCCGGGTCCTCCGGTTTCCTCCCACTGCTAGGGACCTCTACGCGAATTTTTGAAATAAAATTAAACCATATGTTAGTCCCGAAATGACCTAGTTTGTGTCGAGTGGACGTTAAACCCCATTTCTCTCTCTCTATCTCCTACGTTTCTGCACTAGGCTAATGAAGACGGGTATACGCCATATGTGATTTGTGCCCCGCCCCAAACCCCCTTATAACGACCCAACTTGTGAGTTACTCTGGATATTCTTCTATTGCGTTTTAATGCGCAGTTTTGTTTATTGGCTGTGCCTGTTTATTTTTGGCGTGCCCTTGGTACTCTAAAGAAACCGAAGGGCGCCGTAGGCTTGTGGTCGGTTGCCTACAGAAAATGTATGAATAGTAAACACTAGTTCCAGGTAGAGTAAATTCCGAGCATACGTCAGGTTATAAAATGGGAGGGTGCCTATTAGCACGCACAATTGATGAAGGTTTTCAGATTTAGAATTTTAGGATAAAGTGACTTGTTCGATTTTTGTGAGTGAAGCCTTTATCATTACAGGCCCTATAGTGTATAGCGCAGTGGGGCTTTACCAGGGGCTAAGTGAGAGAGACGCAATGCTTTGCGTCCTGGTATTGATTTTTTGCGCCCCTTTGAGTTTCTGTGCACCCTCGCCCATGACAAACAATCACGCCGTTTCAATGTGGTTATCAACATTATAATCACAATCGTAATGCTCAACCAGTGTTGTTGGGGGTGGTGGTGGGGGGGGGGAGGCGGAAGGGATGTCGTTCCTCATGCAACATCATGGGTCACCACGCTCCTGGGCTTTACGACTGGCCCCCTGATGCATTCACTTCAATTCTTGTACTTTGTCTTGTCCGCAGGTTTATCTTCTGAGATTTGTTTTGGGTGTAGTGCAATTCTCCCTCAGTTACTATGGTGATAGTTATAATTCACCCGAGACTACTTTTGGGAATGAAGTCACGGTGGTAAAGTGGGTAAGACGCTGGCTCGCTAGTCTGGAGGTCGCAGGTTTGATCCCGGTGTTGGAGGAGAAAGTTTCCCCTTGTCTGTGGTGCAAGGCGGAGGGCCTGACAAGGACAGATGTCTAGTCGTTCGGATCGGACGAAAAACCGAGGTCCCTTGTATACATTGGCGTGCACGTAAAAGATCTCTTGACAGTTGGAATTCGATATAAGAGTAGGCTGTAGTGCCGCTGTCCGGGCAAAATTTCCCTCATAGCACACTGTATGGCGTATGCCCGTGTTCATTAGCCCAATAGGAGCAGAACAGTAGGACGTTAAACCCCATTTCATTTACTTTTGGGATCTGTTCAATAAAAGAACTTCAAGTTTCGGAAGTTATCTCTAGAGTGTACTCAAATTTATTATTTAATTATGAAAACAAATCGAAAATATTAAAGGGAGATAACCTCTCGGGTTGAATTCAATCGGATCAAAAAGACCAATCAAAAGATTTTACCCAACACTTATATGTGGCACTGGTTTGTTTATTTCTTCTTCAGGGTATTGCCTTCCAACCTCGTGGGTTTTCTCCGGATCCTCTTGTGTCCCCCTATACACGCACAAGCGAATTATTGAAATAAAATTGAACCATATATGTTAGTCCCGAAATGACCTGATTTTTGTCGAGTGGACGTTAAACCCCATTCCCTCTCTCTCTCTCTCTCTCTCTCTCTCTTCAGGGTATGTTGATTTAATAGTATTGTAATATGTCTCGGATTCAAAGTCCCTCGGGAGCCACAGTGACTAAGTCAGTAAGACGTTGGCTTGCTAGCCTGGAGGTCGCGGGTTCGCTCCCAGTGTTGACCGAGAAAAAGTTCACGTAGAAGCTGTCTAGTTGTTCGGATGGGACGAAAAACAGAGGTCCCGTATACACAATGGCGTGCACGTAAACATCCCCTGGCAGTTGGAGTGCGATATACGAGAAGGCCGTAGTGCCGCTGTCCGGGCAAAATTTCCCTCATAGCACACTGTATGGCGTATGTCCGTCTTCATTAGCCCAATCGGAGTAGACTGTAGGACGTTAAACCCCATTTAATTTCATTCCTTTTCAAAGACCCTCAAATGCTAGTGTAGCGATTACCGTGGATGACGATAACCTCACACGAACGCTTGACACATGTGTGGAAGCTAACACAATCATACGATGTTCGTAATTTAATTTTAATCAATATTCACTATTTGATCTAATTCAATTATGCGTTAACCCTTTATGGTGGACGGATAACAGTACCTATTCATGCGTGTAAAATAGCTATATGTCAGCGTTATCTATAGTTAATACTATCTTTACTGTAATCTATAGGTATGCGTGTACCATAGGTAATTTGACATACCTTTGAATACAAGGTAACGTGACATACCTTTGAATACAGGGTAAACATAAAAGATAATTCAGACTAGGCTAGACTTGTCTAAAAAGATTGAACGACACTGTACACAGTTATAGGCCCATAGAGACCAGGTTATTAATAGTTCAAGTTAAAGTGGTGGTTTTGCATATTGTATTAATTAAGGAAAGGGGTATTTCAACCGGATAAAAACCTTGGGCTGGTTGCTCGAAGCTCCGTTCAATTTTAACGACTCGTTAACATGGAGTTAACGGATCGTTACCTTTAACAGAGAGAAACTCTGTTGCGGGAAGCCTCATTAACTTTAACGTGTCGTTAACCTGTCGTTATATTTAACAGGTGTTATCTGTTTAACGATGGCATTAGTTTAACTTAGTTTTGAGCAACCGGTCCCCGATCAATATCTCCGACCCCCCACTCTCTAGGGTACATATCCACACATTTCACCTTTATCCATATAACCTGTCTAGAATGTATCCAGTGATTTGAACACATCACAATCTTTACACATATAACCTGTCTAGAATGTATCCAGTGACGTGAACACATTACAATCTTACTTATAACACGTCTAGAATGTATCCAGTGATTTGAACACATCACAATCTTTATACATTTAACACGTCTAGAATGTATCCAGTGACGTGAACACACCACAATCTTACTTATAACGTATTACGTATAACAACATGCATAATTCGATGATTATTTGTCAGCGACTAAGTAAATCCAATCGAAAACACATAGTTATTGTTTGACTGAACAATATCATACTTAATCCTTTCATTTATGATTTCCTCTCCGTGGTTCGTAAACAATCAACATCATGCTAATAATTCCTCTCTTTTTGAGTCAACTGGCGTTGTTTCGATTCACCGGTTGTACAATACAAGGAGTAGGGTCGCCTGTAAAACCTCGTGGGTTTTCTCCGGGTCCTCAGGTTTCCTCCCACTGTTAAAGACCCCTACACGCAAGCGAATTATTGAAATCAAATGTTAGTCCCGAAATGACCTAATTTGTGTCGAGTGGACGTTAAACCACATTTCCCCTCTCTCTCTCTCTTTATTCATTTGTCTATCAGTAGATTCGTTGCAAATCACCTGACTCGATATCAAATTGTCCCCCAAGAGAAGCTAACAAATCACTGTTTCATGACTTCGTAAAATGTCCTTTAACCTTCCTATCTACAAGAAGTTTTTCGGAGCCCATGAAAACGACATCATTGCTTCTTTCTGTCATAGGTGAAGAAGGAACATTATATTTCGTCGCTTCTAACTGAGGATTTTTTCTTGTGTGTTCTGGCGTTCCAGTTTCAGGAAGTGGACTTTTCCTTGGATGTCCAGGCGTTCGCGTTTCAGGAAGCTGACTATGTCTTTGGGAGTCTGGCGTTTGTGGTCCGGGAATAGGGCTCTTTGGTTTACGTTCCACAGTTTCCGTTTCTGAAATGAGATATTTTCGTCTACTTTCCGGCGTTCGTGCTTCTGGATATTGACTTTTTCTTGTACGTTCCGGTGTTAGTGGCTCTCGTCGTAAACTCTTCTTTCTATATTCCGGTGTTCCCGTTACAGGAAGGGGACTCTTTCGTCGGGATTCCCGAGTTCCTGTTGCAGAATTGGGATATTTTCTCGGGGTTTCAGGAGTTCGTGTTCCAGAATTCTGGCTTATTCTGCTACGTTCCGGCGCTCTTGACTCTCGTTGTGAGCTATTTTTTCGAATTGCCGGCGTTGACATTTCTGGTAGCGGGCTCTTTCTCCTATACTCTGGCGTTCGAGTTTGTGGAAGAGGACTTCGCCGTCGCGATTCCTGAGTTCGGACGTCCGGGAGTGGATTTTTTCTCCGAAATTCCGGTGTACGACTTTGTGGGCGAGGGCTTTTCCTCTGGTATTCTGGCGTGACAGCTCTATTGAAAATGTCCGTAGGGGTAGCTTTGGGAGTATCTCGTGTAACACTCCTGCCGTTTGGAAGCCCCTTATGAGAATCTTCAAGTTGGCCATTTTGTTCACTATGGCGAGGGATTTGAGAGTCATCATCATCATCACCATCATCATCAACATCCCCACCAATCGTTTCAGAAAGTAGCGATCTGATAAATTTACACTTAGGGGATCGTATATGATGTTCACAAAGGGGCACAAAACATTCGTCCCAATCCTTGAAGATTTTTTCACATTCGAAACACTTAACCGCATCACCGGGTCCGACATAATAAAATCCTGAATTTGACAACGCTTCCTTGCTTTGGTTAAAGTGATGTTCGTATGATATGAAAGATGAAAGTCTGCTTGTAATATCTGCATAAAAGGATGTATAACTAAAGACGTTATCACTAGGTGAATAACTTGACACCACCCCTTTAAACTGTTGAACAAACCTACAATATCTGTTGACTTTGTAATGCTCTATGTAAGGATGCTGTTTCCTAGCCCAATGCTTGATGGTCTGTTTACACTCACAGCACTGCACTTCATCATTTCTTAAAGTATAATAAAATCCACATCGCACTAATGATAAAGCTGAGGGCCGGCTTAACGGCCACGTTGAGAAGGTTTTCAGTCTGTCGGCCCCCGACATTTCTGTGTCAACGATATGCATGTAGATCAATAAGCGTAGATTGGGTCTATATCAATTATGTAAATGTTGTATCTATATACCAATAACTGCAAACAGTTGTTAAGTCACTCATCACAGATTAGATATAATATCAATAATATTACTTTCAATACCAAAAACTGAACACAAGGTAAAGTTGGTCTCACACAAAGGACCCTGCATAATATAGCCATATTGCCATTATTATCTATATGAGGTATAGATTGATCGTGTATACCCAGGGCGTCAATTGTTAAGCGATATAATAACTACAAGAGATATTCACTGGGTCTGGGTTATTGCAAATCTTGAAATGTTTTATGTTGAATTGTCAATATACCAAAGCAAACTGTAAGTGTTCAATTGTCAGTATACAAAACAAATGAAATGAAATGGGGTTTTATGTCATACTGTTCTGCTCCGACTAGGCTAATGAAGACGGGCATACAGTGCTATGGGGGAAATTTTGTCCGGGCAATGGCACTATGTCTTAATCCTATATCGAATTTCAACTGCCAAAGGATCTTTTACGTGCACGCCAATGTATACACGGGATCTCGGTTTTTCATACCATCTGAACGACTAGACAGCTGTCCATGCCAGGCCCTCCGTCCAGCACCACTGACATGGGGAAACCACGTCAGAAAATCTTGAACTTTCTCGGTCAATGCAGGGATGGAACACACAACCACCAGGCTAGCGAGCCAGCGTCTTACCCACTTAGCCACCGTGGCTTCCTAGCGAGCTAATGTCTTACCTACTTAGCCACCGTGGATTCCCAGCGAGCCGGCGTCTTACCCACTGAGCCACCGTGACTCCCAAAACGGAAATGAAAGTGAGATGTAATAAAGTTTATCGTCCTACTGAGCTAGTGAAGACGGGCTTACACCATGCAGTGTGCTATGAGGGAAATTACTGCCCGGTCTACTCCTATTACGTGCACGACATGTGTACATAGCACCTGTTGTTTTTCGATTCACCGTCCTGCACCATTGACGTGGAGGGGTGGAGGGCACGGCGGAAAAGTCCGATCATTTTTCTTGGCCATGTTCGATCACGGGACCTCCCCTGCAGGTTAACGAGCAAGTTTCCATTCCTCATTTGTACGTGGCAAGGAGTGCGGTCACCTGTCCAACCTCGTGGGTTTTCTCCGGGTCCCTCGATTTCCTCCCACTGCTAAAAATCCATACGCGTAAGCGAATTATTGAAATAAAAATGAACCATATGTTAGTCCAGAAATGACCTGGTTTGTGTCGAGTGGACTTCTATATAATTGTGTCATGTATTATTTCGAATTTAAGTAAAATCTAGAAAATGCAAAAATCCCCCCTCCCTCTCCATCTCTCTCTCTCTCTCTCAGGCGACAATTGTTTCATGTCTGAGAAAATACGTCGCCTGGCGTGACATGAATAACACGATGAAACCAGGTTGGAAAAATCCCCTGAAGTTTTTCTGAACACCGAGGACCTACTTGGTAGTGTGCCAATCTCACTAGTATAAATATCACACGAAGCTCAGAGTATTTACATAACACAATATATAATTTAAAAGCCATTGATAAAAATGTATTAGAATACAAACATTAAATCAGATCCACATATAGAATTAATCATAACTTAGATAAAATGTGAACTGTATTAAACTGTCTAACCAATACAGGTGAGGCATCGTGGCTCAGTGAGTAAGACTTTGGCTCGGTAACAAGGGGTTCCGTGTTCGATCCTGTCGTGGTTCCCGCTTGTCAGTGGTGCAGGTCGAGGGCCTGATAAGGGACAACATATAGTAGTTCGGATGGACGAAAAACCTAGGCCCCCATTACACGTTTGCGTGCACGTTGAAGAACCCTTGCCAGTTAGGATTCGAAGAGTAGTCCGTAGTGCCGCTGTCTTGGAAAATGTCCTTTATAGCACACTGCAGGTTGTATATCTGTCTTTATTAGTCCCGTCCACGCAGAACAGTAGGACATTAAACCACATTTCATTTCTAACCATTTACGATAATCGTCTCCGATAATATACTATTTGCGTCGATAAACAAAAGGTGTTTTAAAATAAATTACCTTAGCCGAACATCTAACTTAGTTCCTTTATCTTATCTCAGTTTTGTGTCATGTGACAAAACATGTAATTCATTTTCTTCACATATCTTCGGCAGAGAGAGAGAGAGAGAGAGAGAGAGAGGGGGGGGGTGTTTAAAGTCCACTCGACACAAACTAGGTCATTTCGGGAATAACATATATGGTTCAATTTTATTTCATTAATTCTTTAACAGTAGAAGGAAACTTGCAATTGAGGACCTTACGATCTAAAGCACATCGGTTAAACCGTTTGTCTCCCTCTTTCTTCAAAATGAATTGGGGTTTAGCGTCCTACTGTTCTCCTCCGAATGGCATACGCCAAACAGTGTGCGATGAGCGAAATTGTGCCCGGACAGCGGCGCTTAGGCCTAGTATTATATCGAATTTGAACTGCCAAGGGTTCTTTCATATACGTACACGCCAATGTGTCTTTTGTCCCTATACGTTTTTATCTTTGCCAGGCCCACCGTAATGCACCACAGACAAGGGAGAGCCACGCCGGAAATCCCGTCGTACTTTCACGGCAACACCGGGATCGAACAAGTGACCCCTTGGTTAGCTGGCCGATGTCTTACTCACTTAGCTACCGCCGCTACCCGTATTTGTTAATAAGAAATTACCATTTAAATACGGATGTGACGTCACTTTTTAATGCTGACATACTGTTATATAATGATTTATATCAATATATTAAACATACATTATGCAAGAGCTAAATCTACCTATTGAACATCTTTAGGTCATTGATGGTATACAAAATATTAATGTTATATGTTATATGATGATAAGAACTCCCATCTCTTTTTCTAAATATTACATAAATACCTTTGTTTTAAGTGATAAACTTTGTCCATCAACATTATCAAGAGCCCTTATCATCGGCAAATCGAGATACCCGACTTATAAATATCCGATAGCGTTAGTCTTTACCCCCAAATAGCCCGACATTAAAAACATTTCTTCATCCATTCTATGAGGCCGTTCGTTTAAAACCAGAGCTTTGGACTTTTCAGATTGTCGGGTTAATATTTAGCATCCAGTCTGTTTCAAAGTTCAAGAGTGTCAGAAATCGGGACCCCCCCCCCCCGCTCCCGGGTGTTAAAATTTCTTGCTACGCCACAGACACAATCTGGAATAATATGTAAATCAAATAAATTTCGACCCGAGTACTTCCCGATAAGTTATACTTCTTACAAATTCGCAGGATACGCTCACATTGTTTGTAAGAGATGGATTGAGAACAACAAGCGATTTTTCGTACAATCACGGGCCATAATTCAGGAAGTTACGATTCGATAAGCACGTTTCGATAAGCGCGAATATCGAGAGGAACCAAGATCTTTGGGTTATAAACATGTATTTCAAGTTTCAACAAATCGGATCAAAATTATGACCTCTAGAGGGTCCACAACCTTGATATACCATATTTTTATACCAATCGCGTACGATGGGTGGCCATTTTGTCTAAACGTTTTGATCTAATTTTCACGAAATTCGAACTCAACCATCATTACAGTATAATGGTGATATATTCAAACGTTTCTTTTAAATCGGATAATAATTGTGACCTCCAGCAGGACCACAAGCTAAAAACGCGATTTTTCGTACAATCAGGGGCCATAATTCATGAAGTTACAATCCGATATGCGAAAATTCCGAAAGGAACCAAGATCTTTGGGTTAGAAACTTTCATTTCAAGTTGCATCGAAATCAGATGAAAATTGTGACCTCTAGATATCCCACAAGCTAAAACTCGATTTTTCGACAATCAGGGGCCATAATCTATTAAGTTATGGTCCGGTGTATGCCAATATCGAAAGGAACCGAGATCTTTGGGAGATAGACCTATAAGTTAAGTTTCGTCAAAATCGAGTGTCCACAAACAAATTGTGGACGAAATGAAATGAAATGGGGTTTAACGTCCTACTGTTCTGCTCCTAACCTGGGCTAATGAAGACGGAAACTGTGGACGAACGGACGGACGGACTAGGGCGACGACAATATACGCCCACATGAAAATGTGGGCGTATAAAAACGAAACCTAACATAGGAAATATTTACATTATATGATGTCAGCTATACGTAATTATACCCCGATTTATAACTCAATAACACATTCTACAGTAGATATCACTTTCATAATCTAGTGAGCAATATCTATTCACAGGAAATATTTACATTATATGATGCCAGCTATACTTATAACCTGATATACCGTTACGACCTAATGTGTGGTTTAAGGGTCAAGTGCTAGTTATTAAGTCATATGTTGATATTGAACGAGACCAGTACGCAGCTTAAAATATAGGCACTAACCGGCACGTGAAATTCACGAAAGTCTAATGTTTCATACATTGATATTGCACGAGACCATTACGCAATTTAAAATGTTTCATCAATTATAAATAATGTACCTTGCCAATATCAAGGGTGACGTAACATCTGTATTTTAATATCGAACACTAAATTTCATATTAACATTATGGACCATTTATTTTTCTTTGAAATTTTGTAATTAAATTGAGAGTAACGTGTATAGAGCATTGATAGCGTTCACGCTCTAAATAATAACTACACTGGTATGCAATAATGAACAACTTCTCCACTGTATTATTCAAAAAGGTTACAAAATTGTATTGACAATTTTAATATAAACCAAGATACATGTAGTGACAACTCTAGAAATCTAATATTTATAGCGTTCACGCTCTAATTAATCTAATTAATAATTATATCCGTATGTAATAGTGAGCAACATTTCCACTATTTTTTAAGATGTAACAAAATTGTATCTAACAATTTTAATATACATGCAAGATACACTGAGTCAAAAATCTAGAAATAAATAAATACTTGAAAATAATTAAAGTAACGGTTGGTGATTTCTTAATTAAATGTTAAATAATCAACCATTACGTATTAACGTGGATTAACCAATGAGAAATTAGATATTTTAACGAAATATGCAAATGGGTCAGCTTTCGTTAATGGAGATGATTTTTAACACGTTCGTGAATAATACATCTACATGAATAATCTACACGAATAATACATTTCATTTCAGGTGGACAATCACATGGATGCATGCGGGTGTGTTTCCAGACTGATTTATATTGTCAGGAGTTAATGTACACATCTTGTCAAACCATCAAAATATCTTCGATCACAAGAGATACCTCAGGGGAGTTGCGAGCCAAGTGGAACCACCGGGAGAATGCGAAAAATTCAATGATCCACATAAAAGCTACGGGGATGCGACATATTTCATTCCAAGAGATATTCTGCTGCTGGTGGACAATCACATAGATGTTAGTGTACGTGTTTCTAGACTGATTCGAAGTGTCAAGAGTTAAATATGCAATATGTAACAGTCAAACCTGCCAATTGTGGTGGCTTCAAATTGTCCTATGTTATTGTCCATGTTCGTCTACATGACCTGTACGTTGATGGATATTAGGGTAGTGTGCTCAGGGACTCTTAACTGTTTGATTTTTTTGAATAAAATCCTTGGTGTCTTTAAGGTTGGACGCGTGTTGACATGCTAGAGGTAATAAGAAGTAGTCGATAAATTGTGATACGTTGTATGATTCGCTGCCACAGTCTGGTATTATTGGACGCC